TCTTTACATTCAATAAATATTTCCTTACACTTCCTTTGCTTAACAACCATGTCATTTAGATATGAAACAACCGAACAAACATATACGTATATTAAAATTTAAGAAACTTTATTTCTCATATTCGGAATCTCCAGGACTTCTTTCTTACACACAGCGAGACGATGTGAAAAAGAAGAGAACATAAACTCAAGAATATATACCAGATAAGAGCGTAACAAGAGAGTTCTTCGCATGCGTATCTTTTATATCGTGGTAATTGGTTAGTTTGAGGTTTGCAAATGTAAAACCGCACGACCGCAAGTCCTTCGATGCTCCCCTTTCAATATTGCGATACGTAATCGACGATTCGCGCGCGCGCGCGTTATTCTCCACGTGGAAAATAACACTCTTGTATTTTTTTTTTGTTTCTTTATCGACGGTGTTGAATAATAATTTCACACTTGATTCCACGAGTAGTGTGCCAAGGCGAAAACTCTCGGAGAAATATCTGTGTGTTAGTTTTCGGAACGTGATTTCGGGAATGACTGTCACAAATCGCGCGCGCGCGCGCGCTATATCGCGCGTTATCGGAAATTGCGACGTCTTTTATTTTTTTGCAAATGCACATTTATAAGCAACGACGAATCTGTTGGCGTTCCAAATGTCACGATCTCGCAATTTCGCGATGTGTGCTAGAAAAAGTCCTAGGCCTTCCCGAGAAAGGTCAGTCGAATATCCTACGACTTTTGAAATGCTTCGCTTTCGTTGTTACTTATTATGGAAGCTCGTGTATCGTCAATGTTGCGAAACGATCGCGTGAAATCGCTCGAATATGCTGTGCATAAAAATGTTTATTTACTTAACATTGCGCGAGCAGCAAGATATATATATATATATACGTACGTTGTCTCGGCAAACTTGTATTTTCTTCGCATCGTGATAATTTATTCGCATGCGTCTTTAATAATATGTCGTTCCGTAACAGTCGTTTATGACGCTTAATAGAGTAACACATAGTTAGTCTCAAACGTAATCTAAAGTGTATATTTGATTATTCAAGTTATTCTTGTGTAACGTATAATCTTTACATAGATTAGAAAAGAAACCCGAAATGTATTTTTAACAGATTAGTTAAAGATTAATCAAAGATTTATTAGTTTGTGTGTGTTTGATTTTGAAATATGTACAACACTTGTTTTTTTTTGCTTTGTTTGTGGAATTCTTGAACTACTACATCAAAAAGCGTCTATGTGAAACGCGCGAACAATCCACAAACATAGCAGAAATTTTTCAATTGAACGTAAACTTGTTAAGCTAACGGTCGCACAGTTTTGTTCGTGCTGTTTTTTAGTAATTTTCCAACTTTTCCAAGCTTTTTATTTAAACGTATTTTTTCTTGTGGTAAAACCATTACATGGTAATTTTAAAGTAATAAAATTTTATTACAAATATATTTTAAGTCTTTTTCTTAATTTGTTTTAATCAATTTGCACTTTTATACAAAGTTTATCTGTTTCTTTGGATGGCCGAATATTTCTAGGACCAACTGTATATTGAATAAAATCAACTGTTTTTATATTCCTCAATGTTCATTGTCCAGAGTCGAAATCTGATTAGCGTTATACGAGACATCCTTTTACGATTCTTTTTTTTTTTTATACAAAAACTACCGAGCGCATCGAGTTTCGTGTGACAAATCATCGAGTTTTCTAATACACACATTGTATGAATGAAGTGTTTATCCATCACAGATGGCAATAATGAACAGTACAGCCTTGGAATAAAAATGCAATTACGTCTGCCAACGCGCATCCTCGGTTAGAAAATAGGATGAGTTACGATCGACAACAGCGGCGAGATCGGGAGGTGAACAAGCGAAATTCCAGCTAAGGCGACGACTGTTATATGCGATGTTGACGATCGGAGAGCTTTCGAGGGTTTCGCAATGCGCACTTAATCCGAGAGTGCATGCGTAAACTTCTTCGCGAACTTCCTCTTACGCAACGTATATTCGCGCGCGCGTTTCGCGCGAGTTCGGATTTTTCTGCGCGCTCAAATTCTCTCCGCGTGTTTCTTTCCCGCAACGCAAAAAAGCCCCGAGGCGTCGTGCTGGGTAATACACCGAATGCAACCTGCACTCATCTGCATTCCTCTGCTGACGGCGCGCACAGAAACGCGCGAGCGCGCGCGCGCACGTGAATACCAACGCAAATCCAGAGGCTCCGGAATTCACGCACAATTCTCCTTCTTCTTCGTGCACTTTGATTATTTCTATAAAATATTCGCGCAAATACAAATCATTTGCGAAGCAATCGAGTAAAAATCGAGTTCGCGTATAAATTTAAAAATGCGCGGATCTGAAAAAGTGAAACAACTTTCTGGGAGTAACACCTGATTCTGAATTGATTCTGCGATCTCACCTATCGAGAGTTTTATTATTAGCGAGAATCGTCCAGTCGGAATTAATTTAATAGCGCCACACTTGCGCGCTTTAATATTTAACGAAGCGAGAGACAACATTTATCTCAGATACGCAGAATGTCTGATCGAGTATACAAAAACAAGTCGAGTCAACTCAAATCGTTAATCTATGTGGAGTTTTGATTGCAAAACTCATCGTGATAAATTCTCTCGCGATCAAATGAATTATTAGCGATGTTCGTCATTGAGGAAAAAAAAACTATTCTTTTTTTTTTTTTTTCAATACGGAGTAAAAAGTTACACAGTTGAGATATTCACGCGTCGATATTTTGCAAGATTGCAAATTAGCGCGATAACATATTGAAATTAGCAGAAATATATATATAAAAAAATTCTTGCGCGATTGGCATTTCTTTATTAAACCTATGACATTGTGCGTCTTTAAATAAATAAAACATATATATCTTTTTGCATATCAATAATAATCGCGCTGGAGATTTGTTTAATTTTCTTTTACTCCTGCCGAATGAATAATGATAAATTAAAATGACAAAGGGCTTGTAGATCTGATATTAATGTTTCCGAATCTAAATGCTGTCGAGCATTCTTCTCGGGGGGGGCTAGCTAAGACCACTCGATTTGCCCAAGCGGTCGAAAAAGATTCATCACACAGTTAGACCATCCACGAAGAGAGGTCCATCTCCCCCGAGGATTTTGGAGTCGGTCCGATCGACCCGGCAGCGATCGAGGAGCAGCGCAGCTCTCATGGCTCACCCGTTATTCGTCCAGCACGTTCTGCGGGAGGAAAAGATGAGAAGAGGAGAGGATCGAAGAACAGAGAACGGAAGAGAGATAGAACAGGAGAGAGAGATGGAAATACGCGGTGAGACTGTCGAGAAGCACAAGCACATACACAGGTAAAACAAAAAGTCGGGAAAAAATTGAAAACCAGTCTTATGCAGTCCGGTAGTCCGGACTACCCGACCGTCAGCAGTCTCGTTCTCTCTCTTTCTCCGTCTCTCTGTATTTCTCTCTCCGATTCCCTTCCCTTCTTCGCTCTTCGCATCTCTCTTGCTTGTTCTTTCGCGTTGCGCACATTCTCGTTCTCGTTTCTCTCTTCTCCACCTCCACCGGAGAGATCCGCGACGGTACAACCACCACCACCGTCATCAGAGGCAGCGAGCGCTGCCGCCGTCGCCACCACCTCCTTTACCTCCGCCACCTCCACCTCCACCTCCTCCTTCCGTTTCTTCGCGGTCCTCGCGGTCCACGCTCTTCCTTAATTCAGTCCAATGAGAACCGCTCTTCGATTCGTCACACCCGCTGACGAATCTCTCTCCAATCGGTTTGTTTTTCTTGCTCTCTTTTTCTCTTCCCTTCTTTTTCCACGCTCGTTTTTTTTTTTTTTTTTATATTCTCCGTCTCAGAAAAGATCGCCGGCAATTTTGCGAAAAAGCGCAACGGCAACGTGTTCTCGCCCACCGCTGCTGCTCATCGATCAACGAGCGAGAGAGATCGTGCGATCTGCACAACGCAAAGTGCGTCGCGATGCGCGTCGCAACGCTGTAACGTCGTAACGTGCGCGACGCGTGCATCCGAATGGACGGTGCGTAACGCGCGTGCGGACGCGTGTGCGGAATTCACGGTGCGTCCTTCGCGCCGGATGGGAGACACCGAGCGCGCCGCCACAGAGCAGGAAGAGAATCCTCGCGGAAGACGGACGTACGTCGCTCCGCGAGTTTGTTTTGACGACGGTTCACCGTGATACGCGCGTTTACACCCGTGAGAACCCGAGAGAGTGTCGTGTAAACATCGCTGCTGTGATATAGTGCGCGATTTTCGCGAGAAACGTGCGATCGAACACATTTGCGGAGCAGAGCGCGCAGATCGATCGGCGCGATCGTTTTTTTTTTTTTTTTTTCCAGTTGCGAATGTACAATATATAAAAATTGGCGAAAAAATCGCGACAAAAACAAGATTTCTCTGTCTGGCAATCGAGAGACAAGTTTTTTGCGCGTCATTGTGCAAGTGCGTTCGCAATTTCTTTCTGGTTTTAATCGCCGATTTTACACATTTTCGAGATTACAATCGAAAAACAAATTTTCGAGTTGATCGGCGACGATATAAATATATAAACGAACAGTTTGCAAAAAATCACGAAGACTTATTCTTCCCGAAGGATGGAAGGAAGGATTTTGCCTCTTGTCGAGGAAACATGTCCCGCGGCGGTCGTCGCAACGCGCGAACCGGTTGCGCGCTCTTAAAATAGTTTCTCACGCGCGTAGGTAACTGGCGCGCACCCGCCTCTGGAACACGACGCCGAAGTAGTGCCAGGTAAATATCGATCGGCTATCGCCGTTAGATAGATCACCCCCCCTCCCTCCCGCAGGGAGCGCGAGAGAGATCCGTCGTGATCGCGCGCCGGATCGCGGCGACCGGCCGCCTCTCTATGATCATGGAAAATATCTCGCCTCCAATTAAAGAGGCATTCGAACTCGGACATAATCGCTCGAACATAATCGATCTCGGGAAGTTGGTTCTTCGATAAAAAAAAAAAAAAAAAAAAAAAAAAAAAAAAAAAAAAAAAGAGGCGCTTCGAATAGAATCGAGATCCTCGTTGTTTTTCTCAATCGAGAGAGTTTATTTTTCGCACAAGCGTTGACTTTCGAAGAGAAGTTTATTGTTTAATCGACGGCACCCGAACCGCCCGATGTTCTCTCACTCGAATCTCGCGATTTGCTTCCCGTTTCTCCGAGTTTCGTCGAAATTTCTTTAACGAGAAAAGAGCTATTTTTACTGAAAAGGGGGGTGAATTGGCGAAACAAAGCGCGGTGCGTGATCGATCTATTCGCGACGCGGGCGATTCGAGGAATCGCGGAATCGTGAGAATTCAGCAGGATCGCAGTTTTGCAGCGGGATCTCAGTCTAGTTACGTCTTGTCGACTTCGCACGTCGGAATCGCTTATCAATCCTCATCAATTAAGAGAGAGAGAGAAGCGCACATCAATCGGAGAGCTTCTCGCTATATGCGCAATTGCGCCAGTAAACGTTCGTCAATAGCGATCTATATTCGCGCGGTTGGATGGTCGACGCACGCATTATTTTTCTCTCAGATTTCCAGTTCTCTCGGCAAAAACCGAGAGAGAAGCGCAAATGTTTTTGCAACACATCGTCGATTGATCATCAGTGCAATTATCACGTAACACTACGCGTAGTTTGAGCACGTCTCTTTGTTTACCGAATGCTAATTTGATTAGCATCCGAGTGCATTGTCGGAACTCCGATTAAATACTTGAGAAGAATAAGTTTTTCAAAAGGTATTCGAAAAAACAATCGATTTTTAAGCATGACGCCTTCGGTTAAGAGACGGTTAAACTCGTGACCGCGTAATCTTCATCTCTTTGTGTTCTAATTAGCATTAAAAATTGCGGCTGTCAAATTTTAATTTATCTCATGTGAATCATTAACGTATAAATTGTTGTATAAATCGTGAACAAGAAAATTAGTCGATAGTATAAACAAGAAGTGTCAAACTCGGGAAAAAATTCAGGATTAAACGTGTGATAAAAATGTGCCTAAGTGTTTTTCACAAATTTATGTGGACACATTTTTTCGGTTATTATCAATCGTTTTTTTACTCCTCGCTCAAAGTTTGTTAAATATACGAGCAAGAAAATGATTTTTTTTTTCTCGCTAATTCACTCTAATGACGTCCGTAGTAGCGTTGACTCTGCCTTGTCTATTATTAACACTATTCATGTTATCACGAACTGTCGCATCGCACACACGGTCACATTTTATCGCTAAACACGCGTGCTCCATAAGAACACGTTTGTATCGTTTTTTTGTTGATCAACACAATTAAAAGTTATTAATATTTTAACAACATAAACTATTCTACCTAAATAAAATGTTTATAAGAATATTCACAAACTGTTTATTTTATCTATAGATAAAATATTTATTATCGTTTCTACTTTGCTTTCAATCGTTAATCAACTTGTAGTTGATGAACAAAAAAATCGAAACGTGTAAACGCGCAAGTACGGACTCCTTGACCAGCGCGTGAAGCGCTTCTTCTACTTCTTGCGAGAGCGCGTGTCTCGGTAATTCCTGCGTGCTCGGTAATTCCTGCAATAACCGAAAATAATAATACGGCGGACGACACCGTAAATGGCAGTGATAGCGCAATAACGGCGCGATGCCAATTGACAAGCGCGATGCTTCGATAACGCGGATATTTGCGGACGAAGGAGGTCATCAGATGCGACGAATCGTCATCAAGAATCGCGGACGATCGAGTGCAGCGTGTTCCATTCCGCGCGCGTCGAGTTGAATTAATGCGATATTTCGTCTCAATTAACTTTTGCAAAGCCGAAAATATCATTCGTCCGCTTTTTTTTAGTTAAAACAAAAAAAAACGATGTAAGAATTGAAAGTCAAAAAAAAAAAAAAGAAACAGTGAAAAGTTGATCTTCCGCAGAATTCGGTTCTCATCCGGATCGATCCGGATCGATCTTGTCTCTTTTCGCGACCGATTTGCGCATCAGTGTACTAATTGAATTTAGAAGCGAAGTGCGGATATACATCTCAGATTTAAACAGAATCAAAAAAACAAAGATCAACAATCGAGATCTTTTATATTATACAATTTAATTTTTATATTATTATTATAGAATTTAATATTTTTTTACTTAATTTTTATACTCTTCTTATTTAATGTCGTATATATTTCGCGCGCATTAGTGAGTGTGTTTCAAGTTTTCGGCGACAAAGAGGATCCGCGCGCATTCAAGGGTTATGCGTCTCCGCGGGCAAGGAGAAAGAAGAGACGGGGGAGAGTGTCTCCTCCAGTAGTAACAGAAAATGATTGGAAAGTCTTCCTCCGGCGTGTGAACGTGCGCGTACGCGAGCGAACACGTAGGTAGAGATACCAGGTTGCCGCCGCCTTCTACGAAGGCGATTGGCGTTTGTTATTGAAGTTATTCCATCGCCTCGGGCCACAGAACGAGAGGCGAGGCTGATCGTGAGTGCCAGCAGCAACGCGCCTGTCCCTGGATGACAAACATCCACATTTCGCTCCTGCGAGTTGGAATTTTTTTATTAAAACCATTCGATATATATATATATCGGGCAAGATATATATATATATATATCTTGCCCGTCTCTTCATGTACGCGGTGTCCCGAGCGTATCGCGAGTATTATTCAAATTCCATTTGTCTTGTATTTGTATGTTCGATAAGCTTCTCCAACAATATAGATAGCGTAACGATTCACTTAGCTGTTATTAGACAGAGAAGATAATGTAGCGATTCCATTTAGTTATTAATAATAAATATAGATAACGTAATGAAAATATAGATAATCTAATTAGTCGGAAAGCTTGAACGGCGAAATGTTGAAAGATGACGATTCTATTTTCCGGATTTGACGCAATCATCAAATCAAATGACATATTTTACCGTTCACGGATGATATAATGCAACAATATTGTGTCTCATAACGGCATTTTATTGTCTCGAAAAGTACGCGATAATAGATGCCGAGAAAGCCATAAAGAGCGTCTGTTAAATCTTTGAAATGGCTTGTATGTATGGAAGTGAGAAGAGGAGAATAAGAGAGAACGGGAGAGAGAAAAAGGAAGAGGAATCACGTTGTATAAAGTTTATGTGGCCCGGGAATTCTGACAGCAAGGTTTTTTAATAAATCTATAGCGCTCGACGTGATATTTCTGTACTAATGCGGTCTCTCTCTATCTCTCTCTTCTTTTTCCCTTTGCTAAATATTTTATTTTTTGTCCGAATGAGATTTTTATCACGGAGAAGCTGTGAAAATCTTGACCACTAAGAATGTATAAGATATGAAGAAAGATAACAGATAAACACTTAAAAATTTCGGTAAACTATTACAACATTTTTCTCACGGATATGACTCAGGACTCTTCAAAATTGAATGAGGAGAGGGGAATATTTCTACCTTAAATTATCTTCCTACCTTTTAAAAGTACCTACCTTTACCAACCGACCTTTACCTCCCGTCAAAACGTCCAATCTATCCTGCTCAGTTCACCGCAGGAATCGGCAGTGGTTAGTTATGCGATAGTGGCCGACGAAGTTTAAACAGGTCGAGACATAATGAAACAGTGCAATGTGCATGTGTATTTGGTCGTATATAAAGAATGTGAATAGATAAATTCCGAAACATAACATTTTGTTTGCTTAAAATTAAATTAAACGCAACATGTAACACGTGTATAATAAATATATAAGTGAATTTCGAAGTATATAAATATATAAATAAATATATAATATATTATAAAGTAATATATATATATATATATATTTGAGATCACCGCAAAATGGAAAACTCAATGTTCAGGTAAATAGAATAAAATAAAATAAAATAAAATAAAATAAAATAAAATAATAGAAGTACGGAGTGAGATGTCGCGCACGTGAGTTCGTCACACGTGAATTTACAATTAGCGTGAGGCGCCCTTACCGTGACTCTTGACGTTTCAGAACAAATTTATCATCTTTGAACGTTTTACATGGAAAGAGAAACGAAAAGAGAAAATAATAATTAATTAGCTAATTTCTTTTTCTTTTCACAAAAAAAAACATCTCTTCTTTCTTTCTGAATCTTCGGATTGTCAATTCCGTGACAAATTGTAACAAAATTCTAGCGACAGTTAATAGTGCGTGTTAAACGCTAAAATGTGTAGAAAACGTGGAAACGCGTGGAAAGCAAACGTGAAAGTTAGCGACTAAGCTAAGGTGACATGTAACGAGTTAATCGTGCTGTTTTCGTCACCATGTGTGTAACAGGTTGTTGCTGTGGAATTCTTTTTCCAATAATAATTCACCTAAGATATCGTAGGACGCGATTATGCATGATATAAATAGACGCTTAATAGGCACGTTCGAAAGGTGCGATTATTGCACGAACGATCGTTTTGCATTCGATTAATTCACATGTCTCCTTATCGTTACCGCTATCTCTCGCCATGTGAGATATTCGCACAATGTTCCCTGGGATTCGCATGTGCTTGTATTCAAATCAGATATAAATTGTTTCGAAACCGCGAAGAACGCAATTGCATCATTTACTTGATATTTACAATTTATAAGAAAAATCGTCTCTTTACGCTTTAAAGATTTTCTGACGTTCTTTAAGAAAGATATCACACGCCTGTTTCTAATCGAGTAATCAAATTTGTACGTAACAGACGTATGCGCTCTTTCTTCGTGACATTTTTTTCAATTTGAATATAATTTATGTAAAGCTTCGTTCTGCTTCGTATTCGCAGTTTTCACATTGCTCTGTGAAAACTGCTGTCGGAATGTTATAAACAATCGCTCTCTTTCTCTCGCGGAAGCGCAATCACTTGCAATTTTATTAATATACTTATTATATAAGAGATACGCCGAATTTTATTATTCGTGAAGATTTAAGTGAGTTAAACGGTGGCCTCGACGTTATCCCTGGAACGCGTAGAGGAGCAACATTACGCTGATTGCTCGGGTTAGCAGCAGCGTTGACGGGAGAGGAGACTGAAATTTCATTCTTTTTAGCACGCGTTCTCGCATAATGACACCCTGACTCACGTTCGTGAATATTCTTAATAATCTTAATCGGTGTTCTCCTCATCTCAGTAACGCCACACCGGGAGTGGCTCTAATCGTAGTTATAATCGTAGTGTCCGGCATCCACATGTAAACAATAGTCCACATCCTCACGTGTGTGTGTGTGTGTGTGAGGAAAAGTGCGTATAAATATCACGTGGACAACGGCTGAATGCGGTCGTATAATTCTCAACGGTAAAATTCCAAACGAATAAATCTGGTTACATTACCATCAGATTCTCTGTCTCTAAATAATAAATAAAACGAGTTGTAGAGAGGCGTATATACATAGAAAACTTTCAGAATATGGATTTATCAGCGGCGTATATGTTCGAAACAAAATTTTATACAAGTCACGAGATATCTCCAAAATATCTGAACCGCCTTTTCGTATTATTGATTCGAATACTTTTGCACAACTCGTTGTTTAATCGCAAATTATTCTCATCGCGATTAGAAGACACACGGTTAAAGTGAACTTCAAAATATGATGCTTATTTATATTGACTTTGTTTTCTAAAAGTTTTTTTTCCGTCCTTGTTTTCCGCCCAAGATCAAAATACGACCAAGATCAAAATAGACGAAATTGTTGGTTGGACAACGTCAAATGTTGTCATGTTTCCCCGGCAGTATAGGTAGGGTTACACGTACAAGAAGACTAAAATTGAATCTCGTTTGAACAGAATGAAAATCGTGTGCGCACTTTTTTTCACAATCGCCGTCGGGATTCTACTGCTGGCGATCGGGGCGAAGTACTCGGAAGCATGTAACGAGGCAATCTGCGCCAGTGTCGTGAGTAAGTGCATGCTCACGACAAGTTGCAAATGTGACCTGAAGGAGTGCACCTGTTGCAAGGAATGCTACAACTGCTTGAATTATTTGTACGACGAGTGTTGTTCGTGTGTAGGTAAGAGAGAAAAAAAGTCGTCGCGCGATTCAAATAAAAAATAATATACAGTCGTTCGCGCAACACAATCTTGTGTGTTTCGTGTCTTTAAATTTTTGTATTATTCTAAGAAACTTTCTTGTAAGATTAAATTAAACAACAATCAAAACAAAGTACGAGAAAATTTAAAATACGTGGATAAAAAACCATGATTTAACAAATTACTTATTTCGATTTTGATTCTAATTTTGTTTGGATATTATGGAAAAGAAAAAATAACGTTTTTGCAATATGAAAATTAAATAAAAATCCTAATACAAAACGACACGTATTCGCGAGTGCAGATTTATGTCCGAAGCCAAACGTCACCGATAACCCGTTGAGCAGAAAATCGCACGTGGAGGACTTCAGCGAGCCGGTGCCCGCACTCTTCCAAGCGCTCACCTCCGAAGCGGATCCTCACGAGCGATGGCTCACTATGACGTATCCAGTAGACTTCGACATGACGCAGTTTAAGTATATGAAAAACGCAGACGAAGATGTGAATTATAAAACGAGTGAGTATCGCAATTGCACGGTAGAAAACACGCGGTTGTAGATAGAGCATCTCATATAACATAATTTAGATATTAAGAAAAATAATAATATTAATAAAATAATATAAATTTTTATGATCTTTTTTCTGGAATGCAGTATAAATTAAACAGTAAATTCATTTGAAATCAATACGTTGAAACTTGTGCGGTGACATTTATGGAAGTTATACGTCAGTGACGTATGCGCGAAAATTTAATGATGTATTTTCCGAAATGACAGAAACCGCGAGCCAAGAGATGGACCTCAATACGCTCAAGCCGAACGTAGTAACAAAGAATTGTACCGTTGCATTTATGGCGCAATGTTGCTCCTGGAACAAGTGTAAAGCGGCCTGTCAGAGTATGGGCGCCGCCAGCTTCCGGTGGTTCCACGACGGTTGCTGCGAATGCATAGGCGACACGTGCATAAATTACGGGATCAACGAGTCGAGATGCACACAGTGTCCATTAGAAAAGGAGGACGACCTGAAGGACTCGTACGACGACTACGGTCAAGACGAAGACATACTGAACGAGGAAGACATGGATTAGTTGTTACATTAAGCAGTGCTTCGATATCGCGAATAAACGAAAATGAGAAGACATCGAAGAATTAATTTTCGTAAGAAATTTCTCGTCATTGTTGTGTGAAAGCATGAATTTGAGAGGTGTATACTTCGAATTTTATTCTTATCAGACGAATGTTCAAAATTATCAGCGCGATTGTTAATAAATAAAAGTTTCTGTCGAAACTCATTGTGAAAACTATCGGTTAAAATCAAAGAACGTTGGAGATCAACTTTTTTCCCGTTGAGATTACTAGTGTATAGGTGCACGTTCGGAAGATTTATTTTTCAAAAGCAAAATATACTTCTAAATCGCGAAACTATAAAAAATAATAACTATAAACAAGTAATAAATTCGTTAGTGTAAACCGTAAGTTTAAGAGAGAATGGCATAGTTTTAAAACTATTTTTATAATCTTATTATTAAATTATATTGCAATATTATTATATTGTATCGTATAGTCGTTTCGTTTTTTTTTTAATTTTTTTTTTTTTTTTATTAGTATGTGCTCTATCGTTAAGTTATGGAATATTAATGAGAAGTTTTATTATCGCGTCTGTGCCATAAGTTAAAGTTGTACATACATTAAATCGCTCTCGATTACGACGCTGAAATTATTTTTGATGTATAAGAAGTTTTTCTCGAAGTTCATATTATTTCATATAAAAGAAACTCACGCAATTTTACAATATTGTTGATAAATTTCCGGACATTGTAAAACGATGTACAGCACAGTAATTCCGAAGCACATTTCAATCGTGTCACTCATAAGACACTAATAAATATTCGAAAAATTAGCCGTGTTCAGCAAAATTCAGCGCTTTTTTGTCAAGCAAATTCAGTGCTTATTGTCTGCGGTCTGTTGTTTTCAGTATTTTCAAATGTGAAAGTAAAACGCAATAATCACAAAGCGCTCAATTCTGCTGAACGCGGCCATTATATTTTATAACAAGTACGCATTTAAAAAAATGTAACAATTTTATTTTAAAGTAGATTGACACGTGTGTTTGTGTGTTTTAACTTGACGTTTATTTATGTAGTAAACTCTATGTATACAACGTGGGATATGTAGATGTTGTTCGGAAATTTATGAACGGTATTGTATGTCTATAATTAATGGATAGTATATATCAGTGTGTACGCGCATTTGTAATACTTTAGTTTTAAGGGCAATGTAAAATTCGCAATTGTTTCGAGTGGAATGTGATATGCTTTAGGATTTATTGAATAATTTAACGAGGTGTATTCAAAGTAACACTCTCGGAGCGCTGAAAATCGGATACAAAAACCAATAAGAATAACGATTATATGTGCACGCGCTTTTTGAAAAAATAACCTCTTCAAGAGATTCGACGAGTTGCGTATAATTCTTACAAATGAGAACGATGCTGTTCAAATGGATCATGCATACATATTTGTACATATAAATATCGTAACAACGTACAGAGAGTTCATTTTTAAACACAAGCGGAGCTTCACTTCGTAATATTTATCAAATAAATAGAGAAATTTTACCCTAAATGCAGCACGCGCGCTCGCTATGCGCAGTCCTTGTACGAACAACGCGTATAGATATACGTATATATATATATATCTATATATATCTATATATATATAGTATATATATTACATAGAATCTCACGAGATTTGTATGTGTGTGTTATTGATATAAATATTACGAAATGAGTACCCTGTATAACGGTCTTTATATATTTTTTTTTTCTATCATTAATTGCACACTCAATATGCATATGTTACTAACTCGCGCGGTCATAAAACGCGCTCACAAATATCAAACATGTATACATCACGAATAACATTGGTCGAATCATTTATAGTAAAACTCACGAGTCAACAACTTTTATCGTGGCAACGATTCACCTTTGGATTCACTGAATCATTTGCATTCGAAAACTGCTTGATGTTTTTTCAGTAACTTTCCGAGGTGTATAGAATAACAATATTTTTACAGACGCGTGTTTTTTTTCTGCGTGTTATTGTATAAAGAGTACAATGTAAATATCTCGGATAATCTCAAAGAAAGAATTTTATGGCCGTAATCCAAAGGTAATCAAACTTCGTTTCGAATAAAAATTTTAGACGTAGAAGTGGCAGATATTTAAGTGGGTGGATGTTCATCTTGTATCTCGTTGCTCTCTGGCAACTTGATGAAAGACAGATCGCCGCCGCTCCACATCGAGTATAATTGCGACCTCGCGCACTCCTAAAATCATCGTGTTTATCGATGTTACAAAAAAGAAGGAAGAAAAAAAGTTGCGAGCGAAATAGTTTCCAACAACAAAATCAAAAAGAGCCTTGTATAATATAACGAGAATGTAAATAGGATAGAACGCAATCGCAATAACAAAAAAGTCAATTCGTGCGTAATATCTTTAAAAAACCGAAAAAAAAAACGATTTACTAAGCTATGTTTATTAACAATTTAATAACTATAGAGGAAACTTTGATTTTATTTTATTTTATTTTATTTTTTATTTACCCCGCCACCTGCACTTTCCGAACCCGATCGGCTGTGCGCCGAAATGCAGGAATCGGTCGATGAACTACTCTTGCGAGATGGCAACGTGTCCACTGTACCTTAAAAAAATATGTTTTTACTTGAGATCTTTCTATTTCATCACGCTCGTGTTTTAATCGCACAAAACGCAAAACATTTTCTTAACAATACAACAGGATCTCAAGCAGAACGTGACAAAACTCACTCACCGGTTTCGGTTTCTCTGTGATCGCAATGAGAATGAATGCTATCTTTGCTATCGCCGTGACTGCCGCTTGCGCCACTTTGTTCTGCGAAATAGTTATTTGAGAGATTTTTTTTTTTTTTCCTGCCTAATAACATCGTCTAACTGTTGTAATAAACCTTACCAGAATCTCTATGCTCACCGCTGTGAACACTATGATCGCTATCGCGATGCCCAGAATGATCGGAATGATCGCTAGAGTCCTGCGGCCAGCATCTAGGTGAGCCTATTCTACGCGACCCCGTCCAAATGGCGGAGTCATAATTCGAGTCGAAATTGCAGGTCGTCAAAGTGACGCCCGGAATATGCTGACTAGTATACGCCGAGAGTTGATTCGATGGCCGAACTCCTGCACAACGTATTAACCTTCGAATCGCACAAACAACGTGAGATACAATAGCTACGGTTTTATATACAGCCCGGCAACCTTGTCTTGTTGTATCGACTTTACAAATTAGATAATATTGAAAATAAAAAAGTATCTATCGTGTAAACTTTGCTATCGGGTGGGATTAGGAGAAAAAAAATTATAAATTTATGAGTAGAGCACTTGCTACCTGGCTTGCAAGACAACAACTGAATAGCCTCTTGGAGACCATCCTGACTAGCCATTGTGGATGTTTTCCACACTGAATCTGGCGTGGTCGATCTGCTGCGATCCTGCTGGGGCACTCTCAATCTCGACCTGGCGTCCTGACGCGGCCACTCTATCACGTGTTTGCAATCCCAGGGCATCGACCAACGTCTCATCGTGCTCTCGGCGGACTCGCCCGACATTTCCGCCGCTGCCGTTTCTGACCATCGTCTCTGAACCTTAATACACGAAGCCGAGCATGACGAGCTATTTACGAGGGTCGCGTCGAGTTCATGTCAATTACCTGCAGAGGAAACAACGAATACGGCAATGGGGATCTCCGACAATTCTGCATGGACTGTTGCGTGGACAAAGTGGACACTGGCAGTACAGGTGAACTGTAAAGACGCTCAAAGCATTGTTGAAGCGCGGCGATGTCGCACTCGCCGCTTCCGCTCTGAGAGCATGAACATTCTGCCATGCCACCTGAACGATTAAATCAGCATCGAATTTATAAAATCGAGTTTTACGAGTAACTTAAAATAATCACTAATTCGATTTTCGTAACGCACTGTTTCACTATCTAATTTCTACAAAAATAAAAAAAATTCCTGTTATTCTATTTAATTATCTAAAATAATCTTATTATTCATCATTTATATTTTGATAATAATCTATTCAATGAATAAAATATTTTCATTTTTTCACACATTTTAACACTATCTTACCTAGACACTCACAACAAGCAACGCAGAACTGATATTGTAAGTTTATAAATGTCAAGAGATTCTCTCTGAGAATATCCTAGAAGTACAAAATTGTCTTATCAGTTACATCAGGGCTTTAATGCAAAAAAAGGAGAATCTGACTGTGATAGCAAATTATAACCACTAACATGCTTGTCCCCCTCATTGTCACGTGATTCATGATCTCTCAGAGCAGTGATCACATGATTTTTAACAGTATTGCTAGCTATGTGAGTAGCTCTTGTCAACTCTTCCCATCCAGCCAAGCATTGACCTGTCAACCGACACTGAGCCACTGTGTCGTGTACAGACAGAAGTGCTTGTAGAGATTGGGCCAATTTAGTACCAGCTGTACATAGGCCATTAAGCATCTAACACAAGAGATGATTTTACATTTTTTTTATATGCGACATTTTAGTGCGAATAAAAATACTACAGAATACGAACCTGTAAGTACATCAACCAGTTACCAAGGCATTCGTTTATATCTAACTGACTCCTCGAGATCTGACCGTCAATAGACTTTGGCTCGGTTCCACCTTCAGCCATAGCTGAATTCTGTTACACCGCAAATTGTCTGACAGAATTCATCCTTGCTTCAGGTATTTAAAAACACCCAGTACAAAGAGAAAAAAATCGATATTCATTGAGAAATACGATAAATGTGACACGATCTCGTGGCGGATTGAGTGTTGTTGATGCACTGATACAGTGCGAATCTGTCCTGGAAAAATTAGACGGGACGAACCGTGTGTCAACAGGATTTCAAAACAAAACATTCTAAAATAACGCAATGGAAACGCATCTTTGGTACTCACATTTTTTCTAACTAAAGTTGAGATTCGCGGAAACAAACTTATCGATTATTCTGTAAGATCATGATCGCTGTTATTGACGTCGTTCCGGTACCTCCTAATATTCGCCATATGAGATACCGAAACACTACGTGCGCGGTCGTTAGCCTGTCATACAGTTCCCCAATGCTATCGGAGCAAGAATAGTACTATGTGATTCTGTCAGATGGCACCATTCAATGGTTATACAGCAATGAATGATCGAACGATATCGGAGCAATGTGCGTCGTCGTGCTTTCGTCAAAGAGAAAACTGATCAAAAACTATAAGTTGTTTTTATCTGCGACATGTATTACATTATATTTTTCTTACACCGTAACTAAAATCCTAAACCTTGTTTCTTTATTTAATATTTTTACTTTCTTCTCTCTTAAATTTATAAAACAGATATCTGGTATACCTTTGATTTTTGAATTCTGTAAATTAAAATTTGTTAATTTACTCTCTATATTCTCTATTTGCAAAATACGACTTACTTGTTTAGCATAGAACTAATAATTATTGTTATTGTTCTTATAGTACTAAGCTATCACGTATACTGCCTTCCTTAGCTAAAATATCCTATCTATCGGAAGAATAAAAAAAAAACTGAGGTTTTATTCTTTTGTTTGTGCCATCAGCAATTAGGACAACTAAGTTAAACACTTTCTAGACATTTATAAAGCCTTTAGGACTTTCTAGCTTCATTTAGAAGTATGAAACATGAAGATGAAACATGTGTAGAACTTGCAATACTGCAATATATCTTAAAAAATGCAAAAATGCGAGACAGGATATCTTAACTAAAGACGGCAATGCAGCAATTAAAATTAGATTAAAAATTTTACCTCAAATTGTCTTTCATTATTTATAATGAATTTTGAATTCTGTAAAATAAAAAACCTATTTATTCTGTGCTCTGCGAAATAAAAATTTCCCACAATTTCTTACGCATGTCGAGTTATATATCAATCGCTCGACGCTGTAATTAAAGACGAAACGTGGTTAATAATTATAAATAATTTTAAGTAACCGAAGATCTCTTGCGGAAGGAAAGCGGACGCGGCTTCTCCGACTCGTTAATCCGGTTTACGTGTTTCGCGTCTATAACAGCCGCCCCTAATTACCGTCTCGGAAAAGTGATCCTTCCCATTGAAAGCGGAAAGTATGCATTTTCCTCACACACACACACACACGTGTTCAGTATTCAACTGTAACATCGTTCAAAATATTGTTAGCATTTTATTACATTCTTAATGTATCTTTTATCGTTTTTATTGTTTTTAAAGTACATATGTATTATTATTGACTCCGCTGTAAAAAATTAATTAATTTCTTATATAGAAAGAGACAATCAGATCGACTTCCTGCACATAATTATCTTAGAATATTGCTAGACTTTTTTTACGTTTCTTTTATTTTTCGAGAATTCGCGCAATATGTTAAAAAGCGTTTGTGTACATGTGTGTGTGTGTGTGTGTGCGTGTCTCTGTTTCTTGAGTGAGAAGAAGTAAGCCTTGTTAAAGGTGAAAGGATTGACGTCGGTAGTAGTAGACGCGATTTAAAAAAGACGGCAAACGCGCGCGTGAGCGAGGACAAGAGCGGGAAACGCGATCGCGCGGAATATCGCGGTAGTAGTATGGTTACAAGAGGGAGCGGAGAAGAGGGGAAGACCCAGGTGGCGCGGGACTTAAGACCCCGGTGGAGGGGACTCTTAACGGTAAAGTTCTTCGCGGTAACCTTATAGGCGACATCGCGGCGCGCAAGAAGCCGCCGTTACTGACCACGATTGATTCTTTTTTTTTCTCCGACGTCGGTCTGACCTCTATGAAATCAACATTCTATTTTTACAAAAGTTTGATTTTGTCGAGATATTCAGGTTCTCTTTATTAAATTTCCTTTATAATTCATTCTTCTCCCTCTCTAAAAATGTTATTTAAATATAATCTTATTTAAATCTTATTTAAATATAGAAAAACATATATGTTGCAACAGCATACAAAAACTTTAAATATACATTTGTCAAAACAATCGCTACAATTCTTTCATTTTTCCTCTGTGATTGATTAACATTTCATTAATCACACTTTGTTAATCACATTTCGTTAATCATCAGATCGCAAGTAAGTTAAAAACTGACTTATTCTCGCGATATTATTGTTATCTATAAGAGACTATATATAGAAGTAGTCTTCTTTAGCGTTATTTGCAATCTTCAAAGGGGGTCGTTCGGTCATAGACAGCGATTTTTTGGTCTAATCCGGTTTTGGTTCAGAACGTAGTTGTACACCGAGTTTCTAGGCTATCGTAGGATAATTGGAGTACGGACAGGATCTGGCATCAATTCACCGAGAATTTTAGGAGATCATACCGGTTTTCTTGACGTTACGTGCGTAAATCTAAGTGTACGAAAATCTAAAAAACTAATGTTGTACTACTTGAAAAACATAGTGGCTGAACATATAGATGAAACATAGTCGCTGTTCCCGTCCGACTCGGCTGGTCAGGTCTGCTTGGCGCAAAGGAACTTTCATCGAGAGAGTAAAGGGGGCCTCGGGCCCGGAGCACTCGACGGTCGACCGGTGAAGGGAACGGATCATCGTCGGTTATATTCCAACTGGTTGCTCGGCAAGCGAACCTCGCGTAAAATGCCGTCGAGTCAGTAATCATAGTTGCGGGTATAACATTCGAAACATACACCCTCGGGAATTCGATTAGTAACAAAAACGACTAAAGGATCAGGATGCGTCATGGAGAATCCTAAACAAACAACGACTGTCCAACGGTGTTCGCAGATAGTCCAAGGACTTTCATAATTCGGAACTATGAACAAGGTTGTGATCGAAGATTGACTGTTGATAAAAAGTGTGTCAAAAAAAAAAAAAAAAATGACGAAGAACTAGCACCAAGCGTGTCTAGACAGTGAGAAAGACTAATTGTATAAGGAAGATTCGTGAAAGGATCGGCGTCTCGAATTTTAAGAAGCTATAGATCGATTTGGCATTTTCAGTTGGGTAATTGCACGTCGAGTAGAGCGCGTTTCGACATCAATTGGTGGCAAAGAAAGAAACACCTCTCGTGAAAGTTCCTTCGCGTGGTGCGCGAGTGCTTCCTACAGGTTCCCTTGTTTAGCGGATCCTGCGGATGTTCGCGTATCGAATTGGTTCCTGGTTCGTTGGATCGTCGATGTGATCACGCAGCCGTTGTCCTATCTGCGGAGAGAATGATCTTGGTGTACGGGATCATCTTGCCCCTCGTGGGAAGCATCGCGTACGCCCAAGGCATGTATTTTGTTGTTACATGTATCATTATATAGCAGCGTATGTCGAATCGCGAAGTCTACGACAAATCAAAAATATGCAAAGTTATAATTGTAGTATATATAACTGAAAAAAAAAAATAAATATATTGGAAGTATGTATGAAATTTGTTGAAATATTAATTTTATGTGCAGTCGTATTTTATATTATAATATAATAACATATAGATCGTGCTACTTTTCCAAAAATTATATCTTCTGCCACTTCAACGCGAACGAATCAAAAGTATGACTGCTAACACACTTGAAGAGATGGTTGCACAATTCGCAGATGTACATCGAGATATTTCGCGCGAAGCGTTCCCGCGAGAAAAATACCGCGCGCATCTCTCACAAAGAAAAGAGATCTTCGCTGAAAGCCTTCTCGTAGCATTCGCGATCGATCTCTCGCAAAATGCAAAGCGGACGCAAGTACGCGTGCATCCTTTTCGCGTCTCTCACAGCCGCGTCGCTCTATTCGAGAGAGTACGTTCTCTGAAAACAACACGATCTCAATGGTAAAAAATTCTTTTTCAATGGTTACAATGCGGAAACCGCGCGTATATCTCTAAATATTTATTTAGAATTTTATTATCTCTGAAGAAACGCGCAAATCGGAAAAAGATTTGTGTAAACAGAAGTGAGAATGATAATAAACGGATATTTGCGAATTTTATCCTCTGAAAGCAATCGCGTGTTAGTAGTAAATTTTTAGTAAACACACAAATTGCGATAGCCAACCCCAACTACAAATATTCAATTTGTTACATTAATAATAAAGTGGAGTAATTAGCTTCGACTTATTAAAATAAGAAATGTGATAAGACTGATCTATGTAATTGTTTTACGTATTAACTTAGCACTAAAAATTTACGATAAAATTGTATTTAAAATGATTACAAATCATTTGCTCGAAAAACGGCATCCACAAAATCAAAAATTTTAATCAACTAATATTAGCAACGCAATCAACAATAGCATTTGCTTCAACAGATCTCATCATATTTTTCATTTTGTATTCATTAAATCACCGAGTGACATTAGATTCGTCGAAAATAGGAACGGAACGGCTACAGAATTTCTTCGGAAAGATCACGTTTTGTTGGTACTCCACATTGTCCCTGGTGAGTAAGGAGAATAAACGAGCAAAACAGGTATCCGCCCACTCCCGGTTTCCGTCCTCGCTGGTCTTCTGGTGTGTCTCGAGGTCACCCGGTATATTCACAGATAAAGAGCCGTGCTATTGGCTCGTGCCATTTTGCGTTCTCGCTGTTCGCGAAACAACTAGTAACAAAACGCTTCTTGTCGCATTTTTTTTTTTTTTTTTTTGACACCGCAGGACTCTCGCGAGAGCAAGAATACGTCGTTGTTAAATGCCAACCGACGAGTAAAAGTATCGTTGAGACATTATCCTGTTCCACTTTGCATTTCGTTGCTGTCTGGTTAATTTCACGCAACTACGGCAGATTTTTTTTTCGCCGCAGCTACACAAATGCCACGAATTAAAAGCGCTCTACAATCGTTCTACTTGCTTGAACTTATTATACTTCACTGTGACGCAAACGCAAACCTGCCTAATGCTCGTGTATGAAATCAACAAATGAATCATGCGTTGTGATAAATGAGTTTACAATCGTACACACACGTTTTAATTAAATTACGCAATAATAAAAACTTATAACCTATATGAAACAAAATTAAAAATCAAAACTCAAAACTTTACTATTTTTAAATTCGTATCAACACAGAAATTTTAATTAATTACTGTTTATAAGTTTAAATCGTGTATTTAGTTATATATATATCAATAAAAATAAAATGTGCCTTTTTTAGAAGAACTTAAGAAAATTAAATTTAAACGAGAAAATTTTTAATTCCTGATAAAATTAATTTAATTGTTTTGCTAAATCGAAGCTTCTAAAGTGATAAAAGGTCGAAAGTTCATTAAAATGAACTATTTATTTACATCAATGTAAATTGAATGCATGCACTGAAAAAACAGTTTTGTTGAGATTACCAAAATTTAGTAATCTCAATCAAAATTTAGTTTCCAGAACACTTTATTTGGTTTAATTTACCAAATTTTTGTTATCTCAACAAAACTGCTTTTTCAGTGTGTCGAAAGTCGAACGTTTGAACTGCATACATGTACGTCGAAAGGTATACCGGAAGTAGGGGAGACTCACATGTTCCTGCCGAAATAAGATCTGCCGTTCGATATATTTACTCCGGCAAACTGCACATATAAACCAAGTTTCATTTTCTACATAAAAAAAAACAAATAAAGAATCTGAACAAGACCAACGGCAACACCGAGATACACGATATCCGCAGATGATACATTTTATATCGGGATGAGACGCTTTTACATTTCTCCGCGACCGTTATCCTTGAAACTTATCTAACAACGTCTGAACGTGTATGTATATATATTTATGTAGATCGCATCTCAATCGCTCGCTACGATCCGCTACTGTCACCGGATGATTTTGTCCTTCGCAAAGCCTGTTTCCTGCATATTTCCTCCACGGTATAGTGCGTGAATGTGATAATTTCATCGGGAAAATGCAATACCTTTGCATAAGAGATTACATGTTTCTGAAGTTTCCGAGTATTTGAAAGTATGCACAATATTCCGATACAATAAATGCATTTAGGTCACAGAACGGATATTAACTGACTTGAATTCTTGGAATTAAAATAAACTGATTGCAATATGGCAATTATATCTGAAAACGTTTTATTTCTAATGTTTGTTAGAGGACAAAAATATTTATTATTCGTTTAAAAAAAAAAACACTTAATAAGTTGATTAATGAAAATTAAACTGATATTTTGAAGTATTCGTACAACAATCGTTGAAACGAAACAAATCTACATTCGGATTTCTTTGAACTTTGTCATATCGAGCAGAATCAAAGCGTGGGACGAAGAGATTAGTGTTAATCACTACATAAACCCCCCCCCCCTGAATCACGAACACTCCTGTATGCTCAGAAATAATCGAACGGTAACGCGATCGATAGTAGGCGTGAACTTTGTTTTAGGTGTGTACTTGTTCGAGCTTTCTGAGCGAAATTGCGAAGTACAGGAAAAAGCTGCAAATATAAAAAAACATTTCTATTATATATTGAAAAAATTATATCCTCATTTTGAAAATGAACGAAACGCAAATAGATCCTCTCCGTAAAACATTCTAATCTTCTTAAGATGGAGAAAATGGTCGGATATTCTTTTATCCATGATCTTGGCGTTTCTCTTTTTTAGTTTTTTTTCAGTTTCACTAGTTCGACTCACGTTCCGAATCACGCCGGTTGATCTTATAAATCCACAGACCTTCTCTTTTACATCACATTCGATTTTTGTTTGAGAGGTGTGTGTTTGTTCGCGCGAAGGTGTTGGGGAACAACCAAGTTCGCACGCTGCCGATCGCCGCGCGCGCCGATCCGAGAACGACCCGATCGGATCGCGTTGCGGGTGGTGCGAGTCAGCGCGCGATCGCCCTACGTATGTACATATAATACGTTTTTTCATGCTCACGATGGGAAGTAAAACCTGCGTCCTCGACGAAGAGGGAGAACGCTTTTTCCCTCGTCGCGAGAGAAAGAGGAAGCGGAGATAGCGAGTGAGATACGCTGAGACGATTGTAACATTTAGCCATTCGTGTTATGCGCCAAACGAGAGAATGCGAAACGTAATCGAATACTTGGGTGGGGTTCTTCGGATGCAAATGTACGTAGATGCAAACAAGAGCGTGTGTTTCTTTGAGAGCGAAGAAAGAGAGATAGAGAATTTAATTTTTTACTAAACCCCCGATAAGATTTTTTCATTTTTCTTTTTGTACATTTTTCGTCGCAACAATCAATCCATTTTTGTTAAATGTGTCGTCTTATCAAACTCCATTTCCGCAAACTTGCATGAATTGCAAAAGAATTGCGCATAATATTCGCTTTCACGCGGTTCCCGTCGCGTCCTTGGAGGTCATCGAAGCAGCGAGGATATACAGGCAGGCAATGCACCCTCGCGCGCGAAGTCGGCCTCGAAAGCGACTGCTCAGTTTTGACGGATCGAGCCGCGTGTTGCACTGTACAATGCTATGACGTGGTTTCATAATACTTCACAGCAGGTTAGGTGTAGAAAGGTGGCGCAACGCGATATACCTTGCGCGTTTCGCCTCGTACAATGGATTAGGAAACCTCAATATGAAACGGATTCTCGTTGAATCTCCGAATGATAAACCGGTAACGTTCCGAGAATAGAACAACGAGAAAAACAACAAACCGAAAAAAAAAACACAATAATTTCTAAACAATAAAGTACTAGAAACTATCAAGTACAGCTGCGTAACAATGTTTTGTTTTAAAATTTTTTACATTATTTATCATTTATTTTCACAGATTATTCTAATCTAAGCATCGAAACATGTTCAACCGCAAAAATCGTAAACTCAGAAACTTGCAATCTGGTCATTATAAAACGCAGTAATTAATTATTACGCATTGAGTACTGAAATATAGCGGCGAAGCCGCTCTTTTGCCGAAAGTAACTGTCAACCGGTTTCTCGTCGCGGTAGTAAAGTTCGCTCTCGGTAGCGTCGCTTTTACGCAAACCCAGCCCGACACGTAATACCTCGGTTGATTACACCAATCAAAAATAGTGGGGTAGAGAAAAAGTGTCTCGTATATCTCCGATCCGATCGTGGCGCACGGCCGGGAGTGTCTTGTCTTTTCCGCGAGCGATTTCCGCTGACTTCGGTGCAATCTGATCGCTTGTTCTCCCAGTTCTGAAAGCTCTCATTGTCGCAAGATATATGACAATGCGTGTCGCAACCTGGCGGACAAATGGGAAAATGAGAAGATCGAAAACAGATTGATTTAGTTTACGTACGTATTATTAATAAGTATAAAAGTATCTAATTAAATTTCTCGTTTTACTATATTTAATTATAAAAAGAAGCAGTTTCGATTCAACAATAACAAAAAT